AAAGCTTTCCAAGACCTGGTGCTGCAGGGGTGTGGACAGCCCAGCCCCTCCTCTGCTCTCACCCATGCATCACTGGGCGCATCAATCAATTTGCTAAAACCACTTCCCTTGGGGCCAGAATAGATGAGACCCAAGTCTCTTCCAAGCTATAAGGGCCCCAAGTCCAGTTGGGTAGCTTTCATCTGTAATCAAGTTCAGCTTCCACCTCCAAAGTACTGCTGCCCACCTGTTTCTTTCCTTTCTTGCCCCCTCATGAGCTCATCTTACAAAAAGGGCTCAATTTGATAAGTGACACCAATCTTTCAAGTGTATGACACAAGCAGGAGACAACATCAATTCCTGCCAACCAGCAAGGAAACAAGAACCACTGAGCCTAAACAAAGGCCTTTGGCTGAACAGGGCTTTAAAGCCATCTGCCTGAGCTTTTTATTTAATGAACAGTAACTCAGCCTAGAAGGGGCTGTGAGAACAAGGGCCAAACTATCCTGTAGGAGGCTCCTGGGCTTTTCATCTCAGGCTGCAAAATGCAACACAGCCGATGGTAGTGATAAAAACCAAAGGGATCCACAGAGCCAAGGGAGGAATCCTATCGCCTTTGATCCCTACAAAACAAGCCCTTCTCTTGAAGGACTCACTGCCACTGGCTTTAGGCTTTAGGTGTCCAAGAAGAGGAAGGCTCTGGAGCATTTGTCTGAGCAACCAAGACATTGACCTAACTGTGCCACAAACATGCTCATGACTTCTGAGGGGGCTGTAGCCCCAAGTGGCACCTAATCCACTCAGCAATACACCCCACTTCCTTCAGCCATCCCCAGACCAAATATTTATAGAAAACCAAAACTCAAAGGGGACAGAAAGATGCAAATGAGTTACTGGATTTAGTAGGTTTATCTTATTTTGAGTTTAAAACATAAGATTATTTGAAAACCTAACTGGAGCTTTTCACTCACAAAACTTAAAGCCAGCTTCTCAAACTTTAATGGGACCTTGAAGATCCTGTTGAATATAATTCTGATGTAGTGGGTATGTGAGGGCACTGAGAGTCTATATTTCTAACAAGTTCCTAGTTAATGCTCATGATACTGGTCCATGGAATATCTCAGGAGCACATACTTAAGAGGTCTCCCAGGGCATCCTACCTTTCGTAACCCTTGGGTGAGACAGTGACCTCTGCACACCACACCACTGCAGATGAGGGATGGAGCCCCACATGCTAATCATTTATTTGCCCAGGACAATTCAGCACACAACCCAAATGCAACACCCATGTAAATAAATGCCTGGTCTCCTGTGGGCTCACCTGTTCTATAGCGGGAGAGAGGACAGCAGGCCCGCCTGTGGGGATAACCAAACTCCTGTTACTTTCTCACCTTTTAGTCTATATATTTCTGACCATTATACAGGGCACTCTATTAGGATGCATGGCTGTATCACTGCCACTAGTCTGTCTGGCTGTGTCTCTCTGCATGGAGCTTAATCTTCTTAATTTGCTGATTACAATGTGATAAAATTGTACATAATATAGCTGGTGGTGTGGGTTGAACTACATCCCTCCTAAAAGTCACATATTGATGTCCTAATGCCTAGCATTCTCAAATGTGACCTTATTTGGAAACAGGGTTTCTACAGATGTCATTCTAAGATAAAGCCCTAATGGAGTAGGACAATTTGGACACAGATTGACATGCACATGCAGAGCATCATGTGCAGACAGGTGGGCGGGCAGACTTCCACAAGCCAAGGAATCACCCCGGAAGCTTGGAGAAAGGCCTGAACAGACCCTTTCCTAGTCTTCCAACTGTGAGACAGTAAATTCCTATTGCTTAAATCACTGAGTTTGTGGGATGTTTGTTCATCAGCCCTAGGAGAATATGAATGGGAGTTGGGAAACAGCAGAGAAAGCGAGTTACAGTGAGACAAAGAATTCTCAAAAGAGCCTCAAGGACACTGCCATGTTAGCTTTTCAACTTAGAACTGCAGGGCCTCAGCTGAGGAAGATGAAGGGATTTAGAAATGATCATTTCGTATGAAAACAGTTTCTACGCTACTAAAATTCAATTTTAAATGCTGAGTTGAGCAAGTGACACACTAAAGAAGAACTCTTAGAAGTCAGAATTTACCCGGGTTATACAAAAAAGGATACATTTCCAAGTACTTCAGGACCTAAGGAGACTTTTAGAAATCACAACCTTAATAAACCTCTTATTTAAAGTGTTGTGTTTTTTTTTTTTTCCCATGAGAAGTTTGCTTTCCTCCAGTTCTTATAAACCAAACATTACCATATTAGGTTGTTGATTAAGGAGCTCCAAACAAAATTAAACAGGCTCTTCTGATTTCACTGTCTCTCTTGATTAGTTGCTTGTCATATTTCAAATAACCCGAAATGGCAAGATTCAAACAACAGATAGACTATTTAACACTACTTTTCCTTCTCAGTAACTGAAACACCCTCAATCTAGCATGGATTCTAATGTATCCTTACCAAGGCCTCTTGCAGGGAGGGAAGAGGATCCAGAAGCAGAATTCAACAGTCTCACCCTGAAAAAAGGCTCCAGGAGCACAGGCTTGCATCCTGTCCCTGCAGCCCACCCAGTGTTTATCTCTCTGAGGGCCTTTGCAGGCCCTAAGCCCTGTGCCAGAGATGTTCCTTCTTCTGCCCAGACTCTTTCCTATGCCCACAACACAATCTTCCCAAAGCCTCTACAGCTCCACAGTCAGCTTCTGAGATAACGTCCTCATCATCCTTTTATCTTTGTGGATCACATAGCCTTTTGTATTTCTTTCATCACCTTATCCCATTACAATATGATTATTTATTATTTACCTGTTTGTTACGCATCCTTCCATTATTTTATATCTAGGCACACAAATTTTTGTCTAGATTGATCAATTAATTAGATAATGAAGGTATTTTGGTAATGCATACATAAGATCTTTAACATGCACATGCTACTGAGCCCAGAAATTCCAATAATAGGAATTTATCCGAAGAAAACAATCATGAATAAATGCAAAAATTTAGCCATGAGACTCTTCACTGTAATTTACAATAAGAAAACTAGAAATGTAAATATCCAACAATATGAAGTTGATTAGATAATTTGTAGCACTCTCTATTAAAAATATTCTGAACCTTTTCAAAATGTCTTGCTGAATGGAATGTTAATTAATGACATGAAGAAAAGTCCACCATATTCTAATGGGGGAAAAGTGTGTTATAAATAAATGCCCCAGTTTTGTTGAGTGGTGGGGTCATGTGTGCTTTTCATCTTATGTTTTTCTGTATTTCATATATTTTATCTAAGACTTTTATATGGCTTATGTAATTGTATTTTTTTAAAAATAAACTCTTAACCAGTTCCAATTGGAAAAACACCATATGATTCAATGTCTCTGAGGTACCAGGTTTATCTGATTCAGCGACACAAAGTGGAATGGTGGCTGCCAAGGGAAGCAGGGAGAATGGGACAGGGAGTTATTGTTTACTGGCTACACAGTTGCAGTTCTGAAAGATGAAAAGAGTTCTAGAGATGGATGGTAATACAATGTGAATGTACTTAATGCCGTTATAATATAATCTTGAAAATAGCTAAGATGATAAACTTTGGGCAGGCCAGTGGTATGTATCTGGAATCCTAAGTACTTGGGAGACTGACGCAGAGGTTTGCTTGAGCCCAGGAGTTCCAGACCAGCCTGGACAACACAGTGATACCCATTTCGAAAAAGAAAATAAAAATGTGGCAAGATATACTTAACATTAAATTTAATCTTTGTTTTTGAGATGGGATCTTGCCATCCTGCCCAAGCTGACTGGAACTCCTTGGGCTCAAGTGATCCTCCTAACTCAGCCTCCCAACTACCTAGGAGTACAAATGTATGCCACTGGGCCCAGCTATTTTACCACAATTAAAGTTTTTAAAAATAATCACTAAACATAAGTATAGCCGCATCTACAGATTATCTTAGGGTTTTCAAGTAATAGGAATAAAAGAAGTCTGACTTTGACCTTGGGCCACAGAACACAGAGCAACAGAATCCACTGTTTTCACCAGTGCTGGAATGAGCCAGAGCATGAGAAGACAGCTAAGAAAGAGTAAAGCCTGGTTCCTGGGGCTAACCTGAGAACCCCAAGGATGCAGGCCCATAGTCCAAGGGCTGGACTGGCCTGCAGATGTGCTGGTTTAGTCCATCTCATGCTGGGCCTCCTGATGATTACAAAATTTCTGAATTAACCATCAATATTTAAAAATAGGGATATTTCTACCTAAAAAGAGATTTCTTCCAATTTTTCTCGGGAAAAACTATGAAAACTCATAGCCACTCTGTATTTACAACCACGTACATGCCAATGAATGGCTGGCAGGAAGTAGCAGCTACCCATTTAGATGGACCCTATCTCTCCCCAGCTCAACCCAGCTGTGCACTTGCCTGGCCCTGTAGTTACTCCAGAGCTAGAAACTGTTTGGAGTGACTGTATGATGCCTGGCACCAAGCTACCTACCTCTCTGGTCTCTTGGAAATACTCAGAAACCACAGGCCAGCTTCCCCAATACCCACCCATGGTAACAGCTGGGGTTAGTGGCCTTCCTGACGGTCCTTTGTCAAGACATTTGTCTGGGCCTGGGCCTGGGCCTAGCCCTGATCTTGACTCAGTCAGAGGGCAGCACTATTCCCAAGCTACATTTCCATGCACCATCAAAGTAAAACACCTTACTCTCCTCATTGAAAAACTTTAAAAGGAAACCACACTCTTAAGAAAAATATCAATGATCACAGTTCCTAAAGTCCTGTCCCCAACAGAGGATACTTTGGGCAGAGGTGGCAGGGCTTTTCCTCTGATCGCTGCAGCCGGAAAACAGGAAAGTTCCCAGCTGATGCCACTATGTCACTGCTACAATGGTGGGAGGACACTTGAAACTATCTGATTGCTGGGGGGGCGGGTGTCCAATTCCTGTGAGGTTAAGTGGGACAGGGGAGATGGAGACCATCACTTTTCTTACCTGCTGTAGGCACGCTAACATTATACTGAGGTAAAATAAATAGGAAGGCAGTCTTGGCTGTGACCTGTAAAACAAGGGAAAAAGTTCCAGTTTAAGTTCTTAGCCACATGAAGCCATGTACCGCCGAGGGTGCCCATCCCTTCTACATCTTAGATTGCATACCTCTTGGAGGAGGGATTTTACCTACGCAGAGTTTTCGTTCCACCATTTTTCTTTCATGAAATCCCTCCTAATACCTGCACGTGTGACACACACACACACACACACACACACACACACACACACACACAAAGCAAAACACAGAGCAAAAAACTTTGGGTCCCAAAGTATCTAAATTCACTACAGGTAGAGAGAAACAAGCTGCGCTTGGCAGTCCAAGAGCTCTAAGCAAGGGTTCAAAACTGCCTGCCATTCACTCACTCACTCATTCAATCACTGATTTATCAAGAGAGGTCTGTGCACCCAGTTGTAGAAGATGAAGTCAGATCTTTCCAAGGCTTAAGACCAGCTGGGTTCCCCTACCACTTTGGTTCCTGCACATTGGTAAGTAGCATCGGAAGCTTAAACCTTAGCTTCTGGAATAGAAAATTCTGGCTGCTAATTTCATATCTGTTCAACTGGGGAATATGGGACAAGACAGCACACTCCACATTGTTGGTCTGCTTATTTCGAAAGCTGCCTTTAAAATTTTAGTTGTACCATGGAAAAATCTGTGGTTGTCACATGGTTATTAATAGCTAAATCGGTACTGTGACAGTTTCACAAATCAGGGAGAAATAACAAAATGGCAGGGGAGGCCTTGAAGCTTGGACTCTAGAATCAACTGCCTGGGTTCAAATGCTAGTTCTGCTATCATGTACCTATGAGTAAATAACTGCACACTCTGGTCTGGGTTCTGCAGACTGTGGGGGCACTGGCCCAGCTGTTAAATGTTTACAGCTCCCAGATGTGCAGCTGAGACCGAGAACACCACCCACACTGTTCTGAGAAATGGCCCAAGGCCAGGGAGGAAGAGGCACCTTCCCAGGTGGCCTCTGAAGATATCTCACCCATGAGGGGTTACTGGCTGTTCTCTAAGCACAGAGGTCAGAAGAATGCACATGGAGGTGGAGTTGCAAGTAAAACTCTGGACACCCAATAAGAGGTGACTGTCCTCAGCTTGCCCTGCAGAGACAGAGAAAAGCTCTCCCTGGCCAACAAGACCTGTGAGTCTGCACTGTGGTGTTATGTACTTCTCACAGGCAGTGATGCCTGAGGAGCCTTTCTGTGTATTTGTGCCAATTCTTTAAACATGTTCAACCAAGCTTATAGGGAAATCCAAATAAGGTTAGGCATGAGAAGGAGTTTTGGAAATGCAAGCACTACCTCTACACATAGGTCTGCCCTGATACCCTCCCTAAAACTTTAGTACTTTGGTTCTTAAGACCTTTTAAAGTGTTCCTGACCAATTCCATATATTTTCTTTAATAGATATGCCTGGTTCCAGCCACTGTTCCACTCACTACATCCTTGTAGGGGCTTTGGCCCCTCTCACTTTGTATTCTCCTTCTATCAACCCCTCCCCCGTTTATCAGTCAGCACCTCACTCTTTCCTGACCAAGCTCAACAGGGACCTCTTCCACAAAACTTTCTAGCTCCTCCAGAGAATGACCTCATTACTGGAAGTATGTACATTATGCTTCGGCCAGAGCTGCCAACAGCTCTCACCAAGATGTCACCTCCTGCAAGGCAAGGGTTGTGCTGACTCCTTATCCTCATACGTCCCCTGAAGCATCTAACAAGCTGCATACAGTAAGTGTTCAGTACCTGCTCACTGAATAAGATGAGAAATAAAAAGTCTGCTTCACAAAACTGTATCTGTTTCCAATCTCCAGGGGGAGTTGCCCCCAGTGCTGTTACTTGAGCTATCCTCTGTCACCAGCTTTTTCTTGGAGAACCGTCCAGCTGTCACATCACCTCAACCTAGCTCCACCACGAAGCCCCTCCTGCCCACTCCTGACAAAGTGGCCCACTTCTCTGAACTCCTGTCATCCTGGACTCAATCACCTAACTCTGCACTGTCTGCCAGGACACCTTTGAGGTTACACTTTGTGTTCGCAGACTAAAATCCCTGTGAGTGGGTCAGAGGAACTGATGAGAAAGGAAGGAGAGAGGTGAAAGACGGGTAGACACAACGAAAATATTCACCAGAACATTCTACAACGCACCAACTGACACCTTTCACTTCGTTCCATTCAAGAAATACATTTTTTAAGACATGGCGTGAAGGCTCTCCTGCAGGGTGGTGCCTATCTGATAGCTGTTTTCCACTTTTAACAGCACCAGTTCCCTGGGAAACACTCCCCCCAACTGTATGAGCGCACAGTCTACGAGTGGGTTCACTTCCAGTGCCCAGCTCCTTCCTGGGAGGGTGAAGGAGAGAGATTCTTTCTCCAGGACAGAGCCCAGCCAGGTGGACACCTCCTCCTGAGCTCTGAGTCTGCTGGGCAGGATCAGAGAAAGTGTTGGTCAGGGCCAAAAACCAATGGAGTTCTCCTGTGACTTCTGCAGTAATGGCCCTGGAGTGCCCTTGCGTCATCAGCCTCCCATCAGCTGTGTGAACCCCTAGAAAGCCTCCTTCAGATGGCCAGTGTGCATTTCTAAGAAATATTATTCAACATGCAGAATACCAGTGTTCAACCCTGGCTTCAATGAGAATCCCTGGAGGAGCTTTTAAAATCTCTATGTCAAGACCACACCCAACCAATTAAATCAAACCCACGGGGGCACTGGCATTTCGTCCTTCTCTCTAGAGCATTCCAACATGGAGCCAAGTTGAGAATCACTGCCTTTTTTTTTTAGGGAAGAGAGCTATTCGGTATGGGGGCTCCACATATACTCTCACTATAACCCTGAGTACAGTATAGAGCCAATTCTCATTACTCATGGTAGCTATGATTCCTGAAGTCACTATGAAAACTGAATCAGAGAATACTAAAGTGCTACATCTAGGAGTAATACAAACTTAAGTTCCTCTAAGCCTCTGGTCACATATTTGCCAGTAGGTCAATATATAACCTTGTACTATGTGTGCTTCTGTCTAAAGACATCTTATTTAATATATATTGTTGATTCATTAACACTGAACTCATGACAAATAGCTGTGCTATATATAGCTCAGGCCTAACTGAAGCTTACCTAACACACTTTCGCCAAAGGGCACATCACAGCCTTCTAGCACTTACTGCGGGAACACTAGGCAGCACCTCAGCACTATACTTAGGAAGAACCAGATTAAACAGTGAAATCCCAACAAAAAGCACAAATGTGCAAAAAAAAAAAAATTGTGACACTAACTAGACTGTGAAAACGATATTACAGTACAAGAGCTGGAATAAGAAGATAGAACATCGCCTCCTCCACCTCAGCTGGAAACTCATGTTACAAAACTCAGAGGCTATTGTTTCTCTATGTACATTTGTAACTGACCACAAGAGCCAAGTATTGATTTTGAGGGTCCCAAATAAATTTTAACAAGTAAGTAAATTATCAGGAATAAAGTCCACAAATAATAAGGATTGAATTTATTAGGGCAAACTCTCACTGTCAGTTCCAGGAGGGCCAAGATCTTTTGTAACAGCTTTATTGAGGTATAATTTACACATCATAAAATTCTCCCATTTTATGTGCACAGCTCTAAGGGATTTACCTTCCTTTTAAAATTGTCTCTTCCCTCACGGGCATGTAAGCTGCAGAAGGGGAACAGTGCAAAAGACAGAGCTGACTCAGTGATAAATGCGTATTCCCAGGACACAGCAATTGAGCAGGAGAATGAGAGCTGTGCTCAGCTACCTGATCCTCCTCCTCCTGTCACCTACCCACGTTTATACTTCTGTGCATGTGTTTTCTCTCCCTGGGTCCATCCAGTGCTGGGCATGTAGCAGGTTATCTCATAAATACCCATTTGATGAACTCATGCTGCAAACAGCCATAATATTTGGTAACCACAGATGAATGCTTAACACATGTTTTCTGAACACGCGTCTAAGAGAACAGGATCTAGGATCCTGAGTTAAGGAAAAAAAATACTAGATCCCAGTATTTTTCTACTAGATCCCAGTATTTTTCCATCCCTACCCTCCTGGCAGTGGCAGCAGAAACCAATTCTAAAATGTGCATCTTTCCTTGTGAGAAGTATGCTTGCTCCCATTTTACCATTTCTCAGCTAGATGGTGTCAGTTTCATGGATGAAGAAACTAAACTTGGGGTACAGAGAAGTAAAGCAGCCTCTCAAGACCTCACGGTGACACAAGCAGAAAAGGCAGCAGCCAATTTGGTTTTTTACAAACTTGTTCCCAAAACAAATATAGTGTATATGCAATACAGCACATAACACAGAACAGTAACATAAAATGGAAGTGAGAGGATCAAAAAGGACAACAGCAAAAATAAGATATATATCAAAGGCAAAGAGAAGGAGCAAAAACTGAGACTGATCCATAAAAATACACTCCAGAAGTCCTACAAAAACACACTCATTGGCTAAAGGTGACAAGAAATTTGGCTGTTAGCTTTTTCAGTCATCTGAAGGAGGAAAAAGTGATCACATCCTCAATTCATTACATCAACTAATAAACACACAAAAAAAGAAAAAGGCACTAGCCAAAAAGAGCAATCCTACTTGTATAGCTATAACACAAAAACCACTTTGTGCTTTCAAAGGCCCTGTGGCTCCCCAAATCTTCATTCCATACCCTTTTCCTGACCTCAGAGCAGGAATCAAGTAATTAACAAGTCCCTCTCTACAAGTGCTGGTTGGGTTTGCACAGCACAGAGGGCTAAGAAACAGAGGCTATTAAAAATGTCACTCCAATTATCTCTCATCCCTGTAAGACTGTTTATAGGAAACATTATTGAGTTTCATAGCATTTTAAATGCCAAGCTCAGTAGGCAAAAGGTTAAAAGTGACAACGTGCTAATATACTAATGCAAAGGGAAAGCACCAAATTATGTAAGAGGGGCCGGGCCACAGTTAGTTACACAGAGAGAGACAGAGAGAGCGCTTCATTAAATGTTTTAACTCAA